TCCCTTCATCATGGATGACCAGTTCATTTATTTGTGTAAGAGAGAGGTGGACTGGATATCCAGTCCTTTTATTTGGATTGGATGCTAGTACTTTTCTTGGTAATCTACTTTTTAAAAACCAGTTCTATTCACTCATAAGAAACTGAGCATGGAGGTGGAAGGGGAGCAGCTAATAAGGCAGGTAGGTAGTGCACTGTCTGTGAGCAGGTGGTCTGGCTTCCAATCTAGTGCCGGTGAATGGGGCGGCTCCGGTGGTTCCAGCAGTATAGGCAGCAAGGCAGCAGCTGAGCTACCCTGAGCAGGGCATTTTCTGTATATCACCTCTGTTCTTACAAAAGCCCTGCAGGGTAAGTGGTACTGTCCCCATTTGGACAGATGAGGGATTGAAGCTTATCACTGGGAAATGGCATAACTGAAATGTAAACCTAGTGCCGCTGTTAGCTCCAAAGCCTAGACTCACGTAAGGACCATGTTTCCTAAAGTCTGTGCCCCCTTACCTGGTTGTGTAGGTTTTCTGGGCTCATCTGTAAAGTATGGTGTTAAGGTTAAATGAATTCTAATTCACTTCTGGCTCACTGACTCTATCTCAAATTCCTACAGATAATTGGAATTAAAGGTCTACATGAAGGCTGTTCAGAAAGTATCCAGCCATGTAATGTGAAAAATAGTATTAACAATGGTCAGGTACTTTCTGGACAGCTCTCATGTATGTCGTCTGTTATCCTTACGATTAATGATGAGTGAGGTTAGGGGCAAGAAAAGAATTATGAGAGTCAAGTGACAGAAGTTGGTGTTACTTACTTTTGGGAATTTATTTCTGTGAAACGTTTTGGGCATCTAATATCTACCAAGTTCTGAGCCAGATTAGAATACAGTGGTCATTGAGATGTAGTCATTATTCCCAAAGATTTCATGCTTTAGTGGAGGAAATAAGCAATAGGCAAGTTCTTTTTAGCAGTTAGGGTAAACCTAGGGTTTAGTAGAAAAACAAAGAAAGGCCCAAGCGTGGGATGGTCGGAGAAGTCTGCACACTTTACCTGCTTATTCTGTGTCATCTCACTTGATCCTCACCACAGCCCTGTGAGACAGTCAGAGGAGGTCTTGTTACTGTGTTTCATTTTTTATATAGGAAAAACATATTGAAAGAGGTCATATGAGTTCATTCAAACATAATAATTTGAATTCCAGTTTTGTCAAGTACTGGCTTTGTGCTGTGAGGCAACTGAAGTTAGTAGATTCTTTGCAGTATATGGATAATGCCTCCCTCAGAAGAGTACTGTAAAGTTTAAATGAAAGAAAAATCCTGTTATAGTGTATACTCATTAGTGACAATGAATAAATTATTGACCTTTCTAAGGCACTATAATAGTAGATAAGCTAGGAGTTACATTGAAGCACATGGCTGCAGACTCTGTTCTGTCTGTTCATAAACATTCTGTCCCTGGTGACTGTTCAGTGTCTGTAGTCATTGAGGTATCAACATTTTTGCCTGTTGATTTTTCTAAGAAGGATGAACATCTTAATGCTTTATAGATATAATCATTTTTATCTTCCTTCACTAATCAATATTAGATACTTTTTATTGTAACTAATTTTATATTTGCTGTTTTGACAGTAAATAAAGTACAAAGTGTTATGATTCTTCAGCAAATCCTTAAAAGTATCAGGCAGTACATACAGAATTCGCTAATAAGCTTATTGTTTATGTATTATAATCGTATTTTATCATGTTGCTGGATTGGGCTAACGTAGTCCCGTTTTTTTTTTATTTGGAAGGTCTTGCCTAAACCATCCAGACAAGAAAATTGTTGCCTATTCTTCAATGATTTTGTTTACATCTCTTAATCATGAAAGAATGAAAGAACTGGAAGAAAACCTCAATATTGCAATTGATGTCATAGTTGCTCACCAAAAGCAGCCTGAATCAGAATGGCCGTGAGTATCTTATAAGAAATGGATTGTTGGCTCAGCGCCTGTGGCTCAAGCGGCTAAGGCGCCAGCCATATATACCTAAGGTGGCGGGTTCAAATCCCCAGCCCAGGCCTGCCAAACAACAATGATGGCTGCAACCAAAAAATGGCCGGGCCTTGTGGCGGGCGCCTGTGGTCCCAGCTACTTGGGAGGCTGAGGCAGGAGACTCGCTTGAGCCCAGGAGTTGGAGGTTGCTGTGAGCGTGATGCCATGGCACTTTACCCAGGGGGATAGCTTGAAGCTCCGTCTCAAAAAAAAAAAAAAAAGAAATGGATTGTTTAAGGACATTCTGACAGATGACTTTAAAATTTGAATTATGATAACCAAATAGTAAGTTAAAACAGATTGGAAAAGGTTTTGAGCAGAACCTGGAGAACTTGAAAAAGAGGTGAAGGAAGGTTTGAGTTGGGTATTTCAAGACCAGGAGAATTCTTCAATGTGGTGAAGAGGGACTCTGACAGTCTTGGTATATGGAAACCAGCATCGTAGCTGTGGTAGGTGGCCTGTCAGAGCTAAGACTGGCCTGTGTTTGCTGCCATTCAGATTGTTTCCCCTGTACAAAATGTATCATTCTTTGGGTTGCTTTTAAGATTTTTCTTCATCTTTTCAGAAATTATGATTTCTTGTCATGGATTTCTTTGGGCTTATCCTTTTTGGGGTTCCTCAGCTTCTTGATTCTAGGTCCCTTGTGTTTATCTCTTCTGCCAGACTTGGGAATTCTTTAGCTGTTAACTTGCTTGAGGACTTTTTCAAGCCCACATCTTTCTCCACTCCTTCTGAGACTACATGCCAGGTGCACAGAGTGGAAGGCACAGCACGGCTGAGGCCTGACTGCTGTGACTGGTAGAGATTCAAGGTATAACAAGTGACTTTTAGATTTAGACCAGGCGTCCTCAAACTACAGCCTGCGGGCCACATGTAGCCCGCCTGGGACATTTATGCGGGCCCCCCTGGGTGTTTTTGCTGCCTCTGCCTGTCCTGCTTAGCAGCCGACTCGTCCTGGGGCCCACAGTCTGGCCTTCCAACAGTCTGAGGGACAGAGAATTGGCCCCCTGTTTAAAAAGTTTGAGGACCCCTGGTTTAGACAGTTTGTTACTTGTATGGACAGGGAACCCACACACTATAGCACAAGCGCAGGATGACTGGAGTATGAGCTGGGAAGTGCCCTGCTGCTGAAGAGCCATGTTTTGACTGCTTGAAGCAGAACGCTCACACCTGTTCTTCATCAGAGTCAGGGTCAGGGCAGCCTCCCTCAGGCTACAGAAGGACACGAAGGAGAGCCTCAGAAGCCTCAGCCCTCCTGTCCTCTTGGGTTCCAGCAATGTCACAGCTGTTTAGCCAAGACTCACCTTAGCTGCTGTTCACGCTGTGGCCTGTGTGGATATATGCACAGTCACTAGGGCACTGTGGAGGAACAGTCCCCTGAACGCTGAGGATCAGATGTTAATCTTTTGTTGTTGTTCCACAGGTCTCTGCTTTTAGTTTATGTTCTCCCTTATACCAGTATCACACTGTCTTGAATCCTATAATTTAAAGGAAATACGAGTTTCCTAACTTTGCTCTTTTTCAAGTTTTTTTTGGGCCATTCTAGGTCCCTTGTGTATCCATATTGATTTTTGGATCAACTTTTCAAATTATTAAAAAAAAAAAAACAACTAGAATTTTGATAAGGATTGCATGATTCTTTTGCTCAGTTTGAGAAATATTGCTATCTTAAACGGATTAAGCTTTCCCATCCATGAATAAGGCACATTTTCCCACTTATTTAGGTCTTTTAAAAATTTCTGCAGTGATTTTTATAGTTCTTAATGTACTAGTTTTACATGTGTTTAATTAAATGTATTCTAAGTATTTTATTCTTTATGATGCTATTGCAAATGGGATTGTTTCTTAATTTCTTTTTTCTTTTTTTTTTCCCTCACCACAAGGCTTTATGGGTGGACTTAATTTCTTTTTGGGTTGTTTATTCTGGTCTGTAGAAGTACAATTGATTTTTGTATATTGATCTTATATCCTGCTATCTTTCTTGCTGGACTTAGGGTTTTAATGGGTTTCTTTTTTTAGTTATTCTTGAGAACTTTCTCTGTACAGAACCATGTCATGTGCAAATAGATAGTAGTTTTTTGCCATCTACTTGTTGAATGTTTTTACTATGAAAAGCTATAATTTATCAAATGCATTTTCTGTGCCTATTGAGATGATCATATGGTTTTATCTTTAATCTATTAATATTTTGTCTATTAGAGCTGAATTTTTGTTTGTTTGTTTTTGAGATAGAGTCTTAAGCTGTCACCCTTAGTGGAGTGTTATAGCATCACAGCTCACAGAAACCTCAAACTCCTGGGCTCAAGCTATTCTCTTGCCTCAGCCTCCCAAGTAGCTGGGACTACAGGCGCCCACCACAATGCCTGGCTATTTTTCTGCTGCAGTTGTTATTGTTGTTTATCTGGCCAGGGCTGGGTTTAAACCCAGCAGCCTCGGTGCACGTGACCGGCACTGTAACCACTGTGCTACAGGCGCTGAGCCTGTTCTTTAGTTCTTAAGACTTCCCCTCAGAAGTCCTCTAGTGAATATGATTCAGAATTAATTAATAATACCATTCAGTCTTTTTAGTTGTCTTTGCCTCAGGGATTCCCTGAGTTGATCTCTGAGTTTAGATGAGTGTATTGCTTGATGACAAGGATGTTTTCTTGGTAACTTGAGAACCCTTCAAGAATGTAGAAACAGCACCCTGTAGCCCATGATAGTATTAATGTACACAGCTATGAGTTAATAAAAAAAATGGATAATCAAGCTAGTATTCATCACTGTGTTGTTGGCATATATTTAAATAAAAGTATGGCATGTCTGTTTCTTTGGTTAATTATAGCACTGAGCTTTTGACTGATATAATTTTATATTTTCTGTTTATACCCAAATTTGTTGAATTTCACTTTGCTGTTTAAATATAGTGAAGAATTTTCTTTTCTCACTTTCTTTATTTACATTTTTTTTTTTTTTTGGAGGCAGTGTCTCAAGCTATTGCCCTGGGCAGAGTGCTGTGGTGTCATAGCTCACAGCAACCTCAAACTCTTGGGCTTAAGAGATTCTCTTGCCTCAGCCTCCCAAGTAGCTGGGACTACAGATGCCTGCCACAACACCTGGCTGTTTTTGTTGTTGTTGTTGTTGTTGCACTTGTCATTATTGTTTAGCTGGCCTGGGCCAGATTCAAATCCGCCAGCCTCAGTGTACATGGCTGGTGCCCTACCCACTGAGCTATAGGTGCCACTTCTTTTTGCACTTTAGATAAAAACTATACTAGGCTCTTTTTAAATGTGAATAAAATTAAATTATTTTAACAAGTTTTTCATAAGTAAAATGGGAGAAAAATATTTTGAGTTTTTTGTTCCTTTAGCTATCTCTTTTTTTTTTTTTTTTGCTGTTTTTGGCAAGGGCTGGGTTTGAACCTGCCACCTCAGTCATATGGGCCTGGCACCCTACTCCTTTGAGCCACAGGCACTAACCACCCTCTTTTAGCTATTTTTAAGAGCTTGTGTCTATAATCCTACACTGTGGGAGGCAGAGGCAGGTGGATTGCTTGAGCTCAGGAGTTTGAGACCAGGCTGAGCAAGAGTGAGACTGTCTCTAAAAATAGCCTGGTGTCATAGTGGGCGCCTATAGTCCCAGCTATTCTGGAAGGTGAGGCGAGAGAATTGCTTGAACCCACGAGTTTGAGGTTACTGTGAGCTGTGACGCCACAGCACTCTTCCAAGGGTGACAAAGTGAGACTTTGTCCCTCCCCCTCCAAAAAAGAGAAAAATAGTATATGAACTTTGTAAAACATTTAAGATTACAAGTCAAAAATTCACTTAAGGAAATGTTTTTATATGTACGATATGCCTGTAGTCATGTCCGTTTTAATATGTTGCTGGTAACCAGACTCCCCTTCTTTTCTTCTTAGGTTCTTGATTATCACCGACCACTTTCTGAAAAGCCCGGAGTTGGTGCGAGCCATGTATGCCAAGCTGAGCAATCAAGAAAGGTGACCCCCAAGCCAGTGTGGTTGTAGTACTTAGTGTTCCGTCGAGGGCACCCTGTGCGGGTGACTGAGGCGCTGTGGTTTCTAAGTACATGCTTCTGTGTCGGTGATGGTTTTAAACTGGTTGGTTAACATTACGACTTAGCCACAGCAGGCAGTGATTTACGTAAAGCTGCAAAAACCAGGTTGGCACCATTATTCAGTAAACGCAGATTAAGAAAAATATTAAGAGCAAAATGTTACACATGTGCCTGGATTTTAAAAATAGCAGTTATGCAGCTATGAATTCTAGCTGTATATTTGAGATACACTTGCTTGTTCATATCACTGGTATGATGATTTGGGATATACTGTTAGGTTTGTAGTTTTCTGGAAATAATTCAGACTAAAAGGAAATTGGGGCCTCTCTCTTAGCTCACATTCGTTATAGTAGGAAGAACAATGACCTAGCAATACTGAGACCTGATTCCTTCTGTGGTCTTAGCCAGCTCTTTTCACCTTGTTTGGATTCAGTTTCCAGAATATACAAAGACCACCTGAAACTCAGCAACACTAAAATAAACAAATTGATGCAAAACTGGGCAAAGGACTTTGCCGTGGTATAAATGTTTGTTCCTTCTGAAACTCTTGTTGAAATTTAACTGCCATTGTAAAAGTGTTAAGAGGTAAGGCCTTTAAGAAATCATTAGGTCAGGGCTGCCAACATGAATGTGTTAATTCCATTATCTTGGGAGTGGGTTGTTACAAAGTGAGCCTGGTCCCTGCTGTTTAAGGAGTTTTCTGTATATTCTGAATTTCAGTGCCTTATCAGATATATGATTTGCAAATATGTTCTCCCATTCTGTGGGTTTTCTTTTAACTCTGTTGATTCTGTCTTTTAATGCGCAAAATTTTTAAATTTTCACGAAGTATACTTTGTGTGTGTGTGTGTGTTTGTGGTCTGTGCTTTTGATGACTTACCACACAAATCCTTCCAAATCCAATGCTGTGAAGCTTTTGTCCTATTTTCTTTTATAATTTTTATTGTTTTAGTTTTCACATTTAGATCTTTGGTCCATTTTGAGTTATTTTTTGTATATGGTGTTGGATAAGAATCCTTATTTTTTTTGGCTTCATTTTTGAGGATTCCTAATTTTCCTAGCACCATTTGTCAGAAAGACTGTCCTTTCTCAGTCGAATGGTCTTGGTACCCTTGTCAGGAGTATTTGACCACATGTGTCTGAGCTGTCTGTTCTTTTCCGTTGACTCATGTCTGTGTTTGTGCCAGTGCCACACTGTTAGGATGACTGGAGCTTTTCAGTAATTTTTGAAATCAGGAAGTGGGACTCCCCCAGCTTGATTCTTTCAGTTTTCAAGCTATTACTACTACTTCTTTTTTTTTTTTTTTCTTTTTGCAGTTTTTTTGGCTGGGGCTGGGTTTGAACCTATCACCCCTGGCATATGGGACCAGCGCCCTACCCTTTTGAGCCACAGGCACCACCTTCAAGCTGTTACTTCTTTTTTTTTTTTTTTTTTTTTTTTGAGACAGAGCCTCAAGCTGTCCCCCTGGGTAGAGTGCCGTGGCATAGCTCACAGCAACCTCCAACTCCTGGGCTCAAGCGAGTCTCCTGCCTCTGCCTCCCAAGTAGCTGGCACCACAGGCGCCCGCCACAACGCCTGGCTATTTTTTTTTTTTTTTTGGTTGCAGCCATCACTGTTGTTTGGCGGGCCTGAGCTGGATTTGAACCTGCCACCTTAGGTGTATGTGGCTGGCGCCTTAGCCACTTGAGCCACAGGCGCCGAGCCCAAGCTGTTACTTCTACTATGACCATCAGCTTGGCCATACTTGCCTCTGCTTTCTTGTTTCATTTGTGTTCCTGAGGAAAAGGTATCAGATAGTGACATGTAAATCTCTGCGCCACTGACACCCCCCAAAGTGTGCCTAAACAGTTGTCAGGGCAAGGGCAGGACGTGGAGTCACTTTCCCGTGATGTGCAGAGGTGCTCAGCCACCTCTTATTTAATTCTTTTTCCTCTGTGTGGCCAGCAGCCGTCCTGTTGCAGTTTTTCATGAGCATCATAGTCTCCAGAGTGGGGTGTGTAAGGCAGGCTAGTGAGAATACCTGCCTCTGTTTATTTGTTGTCTAAAAAAAAATCAGTAAGTAACTAAACTTCGTTGGTATTTAATATCTAGTTTGATAATAGTAGGTTATCTATAAATTACATATATTGGAGGTGTGCAATACAAATTTTTTTATTGATTAAAAAACCTTTGAGAATATTAAACTAAAGCCAGCTGTTGCTGGATGGTTTGTTCCTGTAGCTTCATCTTCTACTTTTTAATAGAATTTGCATTCATTGAGTTTCTGTGATGTGCTAAATGCCGAGAACATCAAAGTTGACCAACACGGCAGTATTTAAGAAAGGGATATTGATGGCGCCAGTGCAAAGTGGCTAAGGTGCCAGCCACATGCACCAGAGCTGATGGGTTTGAATCCAGTCCAGGCCTGCCAAACAATGACAACTGCAACCAAAAAATAGCCAGGTGTTGTGACGGGTGCTTGTGGTCCCAGCTACTCGGGAGCCTGAGGTGTGAGAATCGCTTAAGCCCAAGAGTTGGAGGTTGCTGTGAGCTGTGATGCCATAGCATTCTATCGAGGGCGACATAGTGAGACTCTGTCTCAAAAAAAAAAAAAAAATGATGCAAACATATACAGATGAAGAATCTTTGGATATGTTTGGGGGACCATCAAGAATTCCATTTGGTTTGTCATAAAAGATACTCAGAAGAGAGCAGTGGGAGAGAGCCCTGAGCAGGTCAGGGTTGGGTTTTGTTCTAATACCAAAAGGTTTTTGGTCCATTCAATAAATATTTATTGAGTGCTGATTCAATATGTCAGACAATAATTGTTGCGCTACTGGAGCGTATGTTCTAGTGGTAAAAGAGACAAAAACAAAGAAGCAAAATATAAACTACCAGCTGGTGAAATTTGTCAAACTGGAGTGGACTCACTGGGTAGGGTCCCTCAGTGCCCACAGAGCTGTGTGGGAGTTAAAATCCTGAGCAGAGGGATGACCTCGGATCTCTGAGCTCTTTGGTGACTAACCTCGGCAGTTGAATAAAGTTTCTTTTGAGTTTAGTGCTGAGATGTGGGGAGGGGGTGGGTGGAGCAGGCTGGGGCTCTTGCCGAAGCACTCAATTCTGGGGTGAAGTAGACACTCTTAGGGGTCCCTTTTGACTCCACGTGGGCACTAATAAATATATTCTAGGTTTAGAGTTTTGCTTTGGCAGATCAATAAGATTGAAAGGATTAGTTTTTCTTAACAAGGATGTGTAGTAAATAAACTTCTTTTCTGTGAATCTAGAATTCTTGGGAGAACCTGTAGGAAGACAGTAAGTCCCTGAAAACATTTGTTGTGTTCTGTGGTTCAGGTGGGGGGGCTCCACTAGAGAACCTTGCTGACACACTGTAGTGTTTCTCAATTGAGAACACATATCAGAATCACCCGAGGAATTTAAAAAACATACAGTTGCCCTGGTGTGGCTCCAGCTTACTGGATTAAACATCTGATTGGGTGAGGGCAGTGTTTTTCAGCCTTTTTGAATCTCATGGCATACTTGAACCTATAGTTAAATTTCCACAACATACTTAAATTATGTTGATTAAAGAAAAAGCTAAGAAAAGAATATACTGTGCTTTAAACTTCTTTAAAAAACACTTTAATTAATGATCTTTAAAAATTTTCATGGCATACCCAAGACCCTTTTATGGCACACCAGTGGCACACTGGTTGAAAATTACCGGGTTAAGGGCTATTTGATTTAAAAATATGTGAGGATCAGTCATAAAACAAATGCTGTATTCATAAGGAACTTACCTGTGATCTCCTGCGGCATAACAGTGAAGGGTAGGACAACAGTCCCTGCCCTTAGCAGGGGCAGGGATAACCATGCATTAGCACACGCAGATGAAGGTGCTATGTGAATTCTAGAGTTGTTTGCCTTGTGCTAGTTCTTTTTTTTTTAGAGAAAGGGTTTTGCTAGATAGGGTTTTGATATGTTGCTCAGGCTGAAGTGAGATGGTATGATCATAGATCACTGTAGCCTCCAACCTCTGGGCTCAGGTGATCCTCTTGCCTCAGCCTCCCAAGCAACTGAGACTACAGGTGCGGCCACCATGCTTGACTAAAAAAAAAAATTGTAGAAATGGAGTCTGTCTTTGTTGCTCCTGCTGTTCTCAAATTCTTGGCCTCAAGCTATCCTCCTACCTCTCAGCCTTCCCAAGTCCTGGGATTACAGATGTGAGCTTCTGTGCTCAGCCAGTTCTTTTAATTGTCAAAATTGGTTGACTCCTTCACTCAGGGACTGGTAGCCTAATTGGACAGATTACTTGGTGAGGAAATTTTGGATACAGACTCAAAATTAATTCCTATTGTATGATTCAGTAAACATGAGAGCCTATATTTATATACTTTTCTGGTCCCCCTTCCTGGTGAATTGGAATGAATATTAACAAATTGAACTAACTGCTTTTGGTAGACAGCTTGCATGGTTTTGAGGTTTATAATCTGTATGTATAGCATAGTGGTTACGATGCTAAGTGTGCCACTCACTACTTTGGACAAGTTACCTTTCTGGAACTCTGTTTCATCTGTAGAATAGGGATAATAAAATAGCTGCCCCATGACGTTGTGATAATTAATTGAACTGTATGAAAGCTCTTTCTGCCTGGCAGTAAGTGTGAGCTATTGCTGTCTCCGGCTCCATGCTGTAACTGCTGTTACTACTGCTCTGATGACTGTTACTCTCTCCTCTGGGCAACATCACTGTTATGTTATCATAACATAACACCTTCTATGTTATCACATAGAAGATAGCATAGCCATTGCCACTTAATGCTTATGAACGCTCTGTGAAATAGGTATTATTCTTGGCGTTTTCTAAATTGGGAGTCTGAAGCATTATAGGTTATGGATTTGCTTTGGGTTACAGAGTTGCTGAGCTGGTATTTGAACTCTGTCTGATGTCAAAATAATGACCTTTCCCCGCAACACACTGACTTCCTATATTAGGGACTAACAGGATTTGTGCCACAGCAGCTATCTTATATTGCTTCTGTCCAGGGTGAATAAAATTGTTGGCTTTTGTGGCATGCCGTACAACATATTATGTATGTGAACTAATTAACACGCAAATTCAAAGTTTGTTGGAGATATCAGTCATTGAATTTAAGTTACAAGTGTTTTTTTTCCTAGAATTACAAAGTATTCTGCTTCCTGTTCTGGAGTGCTCATAAACTCACTCTTCCCTTTCTCTTGCCCCATCTCCTATTGCTGTCACAAACCATGTCAGGATGGTCCAAGTAGGGCTTTTAAAACTGTAGCACTCATCAGTTTAGGCATAACTTTAAACTATAACCTTTTGTTATAGACTTTTTCCCTAAAATTCTTCATATGTACATTAAGTTTTTTAATAAACACATTAACCCGGAATCATAATTTGGAGGCAGAGTGTGTAAGTACTGTATTTAATGCTAGTGGAAGCATGGCTCTGAATTGAGGGGTGTGTCTGGGGAGCCTGAGGCAGCCACTGGTGATGGTTTCTGGTCAGGAGAAGCAAGACTCTCACACTGGCGTGTAATTTTCCTAGACCGCTGGTCTCAGCCCCACTAGACGGATCTTTCTTGTTTTTGTGTCTTTCACATCTGAGTAAAGCAGCCAGTGAAGAGCGTTTGTTAGATTACTTGCATTCTGTTACGTTTTCAAGAAATTATTTAGTGTGGTGGTCCCCCCCCCACCTCAACTGGGGGAAATAAGACATTCTGCATTATATCCCAGTTTCCCTGACTATGCAGTGTATTTCAAAACATACCATATATTTTCTGGCAAAGAAGTGGGCACGGCAAATGTAATACATAATTAAAATGAGTGATTTTGAACAAGAGTTTCCCATTTGAATTATTATGCTGTTTTTTGGTGGTGGCGAGAGATAGAGGGAGTCACAGAGTTAGCCCATGCCAGACTGGAGAGCTTTCAGATCTGCTCTTCACCAGAGGGAACCATTAGAAGATTTGTTTGGCAGGTGGTTATTGAATGCTTTAAAGATCTGTTGCTGTAATCTCTGCACTTTGGGAGGCTGAGATGGGAGGAATGCTTGAATCCAGGAATTCATGATGCTGTCTCTGTGAACACTAGAAAAATTGGCCAAGCACAGTGGCACATGCCTCTAAGTGCCAGCTACTCTGGAGGCTGATGCAGGAGGATCACTTGAACTTGAAAGCTGGAGATTGTAGTGAGCTGTGATCATGCCTAGGACACAGAGTGAGACTCTGTCTCTATTTTTTAAATTCTATTACTGATTTTTTTCCTCCTTCCCTTTAAACTCACTCAGTACCTATTTCTTTACCGCTCTTATAAGCATATAACAAAGCATATAGCAGGGGTCCATCTGCTGGGCCAGTCTGGAAGGGTATAAAGAAGGTGGAATCTGCTTTTCCCTTCCTGTTAGCACTTGCAGACTCACTTCATTGGTCTGCTTGGACCCCTGGGTTCTTCCTGTCCTGCCTTCCCATGACCGCCTCTTATTTAAGACCACACCTGTTGTTTGATCCTTTTCTCCTGTTGTTTTTTTTTTTTTTTTTTGGCCGGGGCTTGGTTTGAATCTGCCACCTCCAGCATATGGGACCAGCACCTTACTCCTTTGAGCCGTATGTGCCACCCCTTTTCTCCTGTTTTAACCGATCTGTTTTCTTTCTCATTTCTCTACACTACTATCTGTGGACACCTGTAAGCCTGAGAAAATTATTTCGTCTGATTTTATTATCTATTTCAGTGATGGCCAATAGGTGCTGAATCCCCTGAAACCAGGGGCATGGCTTCTCACTCCTAGCAGTAACTACCACCTTCTAGTCCAATTAAAGGGGAGTATTTTTAGAACAGACATTTGGACCAGAGGGAGCAGGTGGCCTCTTTCCTAACATTCCTAGAGAGTCCTCCTGCTCTGGCTAAGTGGAAGGCCTGGCTTTCTGGCCTGAGAGCATTTCATTCATTTTTAAAGATTATATATGAATACTGTGCTCTACTGAGGGAATTATTTGTTTTAGTTTGGATTCATAATTGTTGTAAGAAATCTGAGTTTTAGGAGTTTTGAAAATTGTCAAGGTTGGTACTTTGTAGATGGTTTTTCCAGACTGATGATGTTTCCTATCATTTGGCCACAATACAGGAAGCACTTGGTAAAGTTTTATTTCCTACTTGAAGCAGTAAACAACTCATGAGTTTTTTTGTTTGTTTTGGCATGAAATGCCCCAGGCCTAATTTTTTTTCTTTTCTTTCTTTCTTTCTTTCTTTTTTTTTTTATTAAATCATAGCCATGTACATTAATGCAATCATGGGGTCTAATGTGCTGGTTTTATATATAATTTGAAATATTTTCATCAAACTGGTTAACATAGCCTTCACAGCATTTTCTTAATTATTGTGTTAAGACAGTTATATTCTACATTTAGTAAATTTCAGATGTACCCTTGTAAAATGCACGGTAGGTGTGGTCCCACCGATTACCCTCCCTCCACCCATCCTCCCCTCTCCCCTCCCCTCTCTCTCCCCCTTCCCCATATTCTTGGGTTGTAATTGGGATATAGCTTTCATATGAAAACTATAAATTGGTTTCATAGTAGGGCTAAGTACATTGGATACTTTTTCTTCCATTTTTGAGATACTTTGCTAAGAAGAATATGTTCCAGCTCTATCCATGTAAACATGAAAGAGGTAAAGTCTCCATCTTTCTTTAAGGCTGTGTAATATTCCATGGTGTACACATACCACAATTTATTAATCCATTCGTGGGTCGATGGGCACTTGGGCTTCTTCCATGACTTAGCAATTATGAATTGGGCTGCCGTAAACATTCTGGTACAAATATCTTCGTTATAATGTGATTTTTGGTCTTCTGGATATATACCTAGTTAGAGGAATTGTAGGATTGAATGGCAGGTCTATTTTTAGATCCCTAAGTGTTCTCCAAACATCTTTCCAAAAGGAACATATTAGTTTGCATTCCCACCAGCAGTGCAGAAGTGTTCCCTTTTCTCCACATCCACGCCAACATGTCTGGTTTTGGGATTTTATGATATGGGCTAATCTTAATGGAGTTAGATGATATCTCAAAGTAGTTTTGATTTGCATTTCTCTGATGATTAAGGATGATGAGCATTTTTTCTTGTGTCTGTAGGCCGTGCTCCTGCCTTCTTCAGAGAAGTTTCTCTTCAAGTCCCTTGCCCACCCTGAGATGGGATCACTTGTTCTTTTCTTGCTAATACGTTTGAGTTCTCTGTGGATTCTGGTTATTAAACCTTTGTTGGAGACATAACCTTCAAATATCTTCTCCCATTCTGAGGGCTGTCTGCTTGCTTTACTTACTATGTTCTTGGCTGTGCAGAAGCTTTTTAGTTTGATCAGGTCCTAGTAGTGTATTTTTGGTGTTGCTTCCATTGCCTGGGGGGTCCTCTTCATGAAGTATTCACCTAGGCCGATTTGTTCAAGTGTTTTCCCTGCACTTTCTTCCAGTATTTCTATGGTTTCATGTCTTAAGTTTAAATCTTTAATCCAGTGAGAGTCTGTCTTAGTTAATGGTGAGAGGTGTGGATCCAGTCTCAGTCTTCTGCAGGTTGCAAGCCCAACCCTAACTTAAGTGTATTTTCTCCTATTTGCTAATAAGCATTTTAGAGATTCATCTCCTTTCTGGCATAGAAATTAATGAGAATGGTGCATACAATCCCTAATTAAAGTGTGACTCAGCACACGTCCTATTTGATTTACCCTGGAGACATTGATTGCCCTTTGCGATTCATTTCTCCTTAGGAAAAGGAGATTGTCAAATAGAAACATTTATTTGATAAAACTTTGATGTAAAAAATGGGCATAGGCTTGGCTTTCAGATTTGTGCTTTTATAAACTAAACAATTAAAGAAAAAAGCCAAGCTTCACAAGACAGATAGTAAAATGAGTGGTTAAAGCACCTGGATCAGGGGCAGAGAGTGAGTCCTGGGCTCGATGCTCGGTGGCTGTGGGACGTGAACCTCACTGAGCCTTATTTACCTGTTTCAGTGTGAGGCTGATGAATGACAGTACCGGCTCATGGAGTTTTTGTGAGGATTGAATGAAATACTGTGTGTAAGATGCTTAGTACAGTAGTAAATAGTGAATAATGTCAGCTGGCTTCATTTTGCTATTGTTATCATAGATGTCGATGTATTCGTATTCGTATTCGTAAAACTTAAACTGATAGTGTTTCTGGAAGTTTTGTAATGCTAAAAGCAATGGCTATAAAAGGTACGTTAGATAATTCTTGTTTCTGTAGCTGAGTCATATCAAAGAGACCAACATTTTAAAGAATAGGTAATTGATGAAGATTGACTTTTATTCATAAAATGTTTTTTTTCTAGCTGGGTATTATAAACAAGGTAAGAAAGTTAAAATAAAAATATTCCCTTAAAGTTGTCTTCATAAGTATTTTTAGCATGTACAGTTTAAGTACTAGGCATTCATGTAGTAACCTTCTGTTTTACAGGGTAACATTGTTAGATGTTATAATAGCCAAGATAGTGAGTGACGAGCCACTGACCAAGGATGACATTCCTGCGTTTCTGCGCCACGCTGAGTTGATTGCGAGCACTTTTGTGGATCAGTGCAAGACTGTGCTCAAGCTGACCTCTGAGCAGCACACAGATGATGAGGTAAGGAGGCAGATTCCCTGGTGCTAGGTGAGAGAGACAAGGCAGATTTTCTTTTTATTTTTTTTTTATTTTTTTCAGATTGTTTTTTAACTTAACCAAGTCCTCTAGGAGAATTCTTTTCTAAAATCTTTTCAAAATACTACTTAAGTAATGTATGCTTGTATTAGAATAGTTAGAAAATTTAGATAAGGAAAAACAGTGCACATATTTTTTTACCATCCAGAGTCAATGATTTTTTTCAGGAAGATGACATCAGGTATGTACATGCGTGCATTGACATGTGCATACACACGTACACTTTGTGTGGCATGGTCTGCGCCGGCTCTCTCTTTTTTTTTTTTTTTTTTAAGACAGAGCTTCAAGCTGTCCCCCTGGGTAGAGTGCTGTGGCATCACAGCTCACAGCAACCTCCAACTCCTGGGCTCAAGCGAGTCTCCT